AAGCAAGTTTAAGGATTCATAATTTAACCTATTGCAAATTAATATTACAGTATTTCACCAATGGTCCGTTTGATTGCAAAGATAGAATTAAATTGAATTGAAAACGAATTCCAAGGAATTGAATTCCCTAGAAATTGTTTTTCTGAAAATTGTAAATTATTGTGTTTGATTGGTATAATTTTCTACATGGAAAATGTTAAAATAAAAGTGTTTTTTGATATTTGTTTAGCTTTGTTTTACTTGAAAATTGTCAATTAAATGGATAAAATTTACTGGTATTGGAAATGAAATTTGTTTCCATTGCCACAAAAAAAAAAAAAAATATCTATCTTTGGGTGTTGTTTGACTTTGCTTTACATGAAAATTGTCAATTAAAGGAAAATATTTTTTTACAATAATTCTTAGAATTTGTTTCCATTACCAAAAAAAAAAAAATTGCTACAGTACCCGAGAAAACCATGGTGGGAATTGGTTTTCCATGAAAACATGGAAAACTACACTTTCCAAGACAATCAAGAATTGGAATTCCATGGAAATAATTGTGCTATCAGACAACAAAAAAAAAATGAAAAAGATGGAATTGGAATTCCATTTCCATGTATTTCCATGCCATCAAACACTACCCAACTGTTCTGGGATATCTTGTAATGCATCAAATAGAGTTATTTTAGTTAAAAGTATAACCAAGCACATACTTTTATTATTTCACACAGAGAATGGGTCGTTTGCTTATTTTGAATGGTCCTAGTTTGCAATTATTTCTTCCTAGTTTAGTATGATAAAACTCTATTGTTTCTAAAATTATTCATGTGCATGCTATGGCTTCATTCCCAGTTGATCTAGAAAAGTCATAATAGTTTCCCAAGTGTTTAATGTTTAAATTCTAATTAGTTGATAGGATAATAGAGAAATGAGGGATCATGAATATTGCTCTGTACATCTTTTGTGTTAAGGACTCATCTAACAGACTCCAAAAAATCAGTCTTCATATGCCTAACTAGTGCAATTGTCTTGGTTGGTAATTATATGACAGAGCCTCATTATCATACCCTTCAACATAAGTTATTTGGCGTTTTACAAAACTCATATTATAGTTTGTGTGGGTAATGTTTTCCTCACAAATTTTGTGTATGTTCTCTATAAGACTATAACTCTGTGGCAGTCCCATTTATTAGATTCTTTATGGTGATTATTGCAGCAAACACTAGCTATTTTGAAGCTTGACTAATTTAAGATGCTTTGCATTTTTTTAATTTGTTTAAGAATTTAACTTACACTATTTCTGGTTATTCCTGATGGTACGTAATTAAGCGTCTAATCTACTCAGCTTCAATAGAATGTTGTAATATGGCATATATGCATTGAAACATTTTAACAATGAATTCGTAGTTTAGTTTTATATAATTTTTAATCTCCTACTTTTGCCCATAGATGTGTATATCATATTCTATTCATTAACTCATACTCTCACCGATCAGATTGTTTCAGTAGTCCTTGAAAATTATGGAGGAATAGATAAGGAGTCCAATGATCCAAATGAAAGCCACTGGGTCCAAGAAGTTTTTAAATTTGAGGGTCATGCCTCCCCTTCACCTGAAGTTGCAACAAAGGTTCCTTCTTGGAGGATGATTGTAAATGAGAAAGGAGAACATAATATGACAGCGTAATTTCTCTGCATGTTATTAATTTCTTTAGCACCTTATACTATCCTTAAGGCATATTTCGTTTTACTTTAAACTGGAAAGATTCCAGGAATCCATGCTTTTGGTCTAGAGTATGCCTTCACAACATGGCCAAGCTGGGGAAGGAGGCTACAACAATGCGCCGCATTTTGGATTCTTTGTTCCGCTATTTTGATAATACAAATCAATGGCCTGCTGATCATGGCATCGCTCTTCCTGTCCTGAAAGACATGCAGCTTTTAATGGATGATTTAGGTATTCATGTAACTTTCTCTTTCTATTCGTCATGTTAATTTGTTGTGTTCCACTAGGCTACTCCTTTGCCTTATTTTGAGTGGCATGTTTCCTTCATTTGCAGGGCACAATACACACTCTTTGCTGTCAATACTGGTCAAGCATCTCGATCATAAAAATGTACTGAAGCAACCTGAAATGCAGCTTGATATTGTTTCAGGTGCTACTTCCCTTATTCGACTTGCAAAGGTTCAGTCATCATTAGCTATCGTGACTGCCATGAGTGATGTTATGAGGCATATGCGGAAAAGTATACAATATTCACTTGATGATGCAAATCTTGGCATTGAATCAATCAAATGGAACAGAGTGTTCTATGAAGCATTGGATGACTGTCTCACGGAGTTATCATATAAGGTTGGTTATCTAGTATGTTTGAAGACTAACAGCATGCCAGAGCTTAGAAGCTGTTACCAGTCTACTGTATAAACGTTATACGTGGACATTACAATTTATTGGGTCCAACTATAGTCGAGGGGAAAAAAAATTCTTATTTTTAGCAATTTTTGAGTGAATATTGCAAAGCAGCTGGATCTTCAAAGTCAGTAACACTTTGTATTGATTGCCAGGTTGGAGATGCGAGCCCAATCCTTGATGTAATGGCTGTGATGTTGGAGAACATCTCAAGCATTACAGTCATAGCCAGAAGTACTGTTTTTGCTGTTTATCGTACTGCTCAAATTGTAGCTTCTATTCCAAATTTATCCTATCATAACAAGGCAAGATCTTTTACAAGTTAAATAATGTCATCAGCTATAACACAATCCATGTATGTGTGTATTTATCTGTGTGCTTACTATATTTAATTTTATGGCCTAATTTTGGTTCCTTAGGCTTTTCCGGAGGCTTTATTTCATCAATTACTTCCAGCTATGGTCCACCCAGATCACGAAACACGAGTTGTAGCTCACCGTATCTTCTCTGTTGTCCTTGTGCCATCTTCTATTTGCCCTCAACCAAGCTCAGCTGCACCCGAGTTGAAGACTATAGAGTTTCCAAGAACACTCTCAAGAACTGTTTCTGTGTTTTCTTCATCGGCTGCTCTTTTTGAAAAGCTGAAGAACCAAAGGAATTCTTCAAGGGAGAATCTCAATGAATTAAACAACCAAAAATCTGTAGATGAAGAGGAACAGCTAAACAATAACAGTGGAATGTTAAACAGAATTAAGTCAACTTTTAGTCAAGTAAATAGCTTCAGAAATTCACCAGCATCAGATGTAGATTCTGTAACCAAGTCAAGTAAAGACATGGTAAGTTTCTGGTTTCTCTTCACCGTTATTGAAGTCCATAGTTTTAGGCTTTTACATAAATGTACTTTGTTGCTTTCATACTGGTCTTTTTTCTATCCATATCCTGCTTTCATCAAACAACTGTAAAGAATACATACTAAGCCTTATTCCAACTAAACTGAGGTCGGCTACATGAATCCTACTTCACCATTTTGCTTTCTTCTTTTGTACATCTACTGGGACATCAAAAGCAACTACATCTATCATGTCATAGTAAGGGATTCCCCAACGAAATGTGTATTTGGATTCGTTATGACAAATTTTTAAGCTGGCCATCAACCTACAGCAACCCTCTTCATTTACTCAGGTTTGGACTGGTTATGAAAAAACATAGGCGGAATTCTTTATCCTACTTTCATCCATTAGGTAAAATCTTCTTTCAATCTTCTGTTCATCAAAGACCTGCTCTGGATTGTATGTTTCTTTAATGCAGTTTTGGAAGAAATCCACACCTTTGTATTTTAATTTGCATAGTGGAGTTGTCCTCTACTGGAGTTGTCTGCTAAATTTGTTGACGGTAGTATTGCTAAATGGTATGATTCCTTTCTTTTAATTTTAGGATGCCATTCCTCTTAGGTTGAGCAGCCACCATATAACCCTCCTGCTTTCATCTATTTGGGCACAGTCCATCTCTCCTGCAAACATGCCAGAAAACTATGAAGCTGTTGCTCACACGTACAGCTTGGTTTTGCTCTTCTCTCGAGCTAAGGTAATTTATTGTTTCAGTAGTCTTTAAATATCTATTTAAATTTAAGTGTTGAATTAAAATTCATATAAAATAAATGTATCCCTTCTATAATAAATTGAGCATTGAGATGGGGCGGTTCAACATGGTAGATTTGTAGTCGAGTTCTCAGGTCTTGACACCACGTAGTTTTCAAAATTGTGCACGTGTCAGACATTCAATGAAAATTGTGCACGTGTCAGACGTTCAATGAAAATTTGAAACCAGTATGCACATGGGAGGGCCTGATAAGGACTGACTCATTGACGTATTAATATTTTATAAGATGCAGAATTATATCTTATTTATTATGACTTGAATCTGATCTGCATGTGAGATTGCTTCTCTCACCCTCTGAATATGTTATTTGTTGATCATAGTTTTCTGGTCAACAAGCCTCCATTTTAAATGAGCTGTTTAGTGAAAAATAAACAGAAAAAGAGATGCTTTTGCTTTTATTAATTGGAAAAATGACCCCTACAGCAACTTCTATAGGAGTATTTAAACCACAGGAGATTCCATTCTATTGAAAATATTCTGTGAGATTTAGGCACATAATTAATTAGCACGTCCCATGACTCTTGTTATGCTGATCTGACCTAACTGCGTTGATGGAAAATGTATCAATTTTCTTCGAACAAATGCTTTTTGGGCTGTTATTATATTTTATGTCGTCCATCTGATGCAGAACTCCCAACGCGATGCTCTAATCCAATGTTTTCAGCTGGCATTTTCTTTACAGAGTGTTTCTCTTGCAGAAAGAGGTAAACCTGCAAACTCATTCAGCCACATATATTGTGTACTCTGAAGACAATTGAATGTGTTGCTAAGCCTAAAAAAAGTATAAGCTACTTTTAATTTTTAAGCAATATTTTGTTCCCAAATTTTTTAATACTACTTTTATCTTTATTTCTGAAGGAAAAGTTTTGATTTTCTGTTTTCTTGCTATCAAAATCAGGAACTTACTTATTTCCAACTTTGGCCACTTAAAAATTATTTATTTTAAAACTTAGTTATTTACTCGTAAGTAAACCTTTTATGCTTAGCCAAGCATGCCTCTTTTTTTTTTTTTTTTTGTTAATCAGGTGAACATGGTAGCATTTTAATAAATGACCAAATCATCAAATAAGTACTTTTACATATGTCTTTCTATCCAAAATTGAGGTCACGTTTTCTTATCCTACAAGTTGATCGCTGCAAATGCTTCAAACTAAAAGGTTCTTTTTTTTTTTGTGGGGGGGGGGGCGCTTGT